CGCACAAGGACGCGTGGCGCCGCAGGGGATACGCCCCCGTGCTCTACCTGCAGTCGCACTGCGATGTGCCCTCGGACCGCGACCGCTACGTGCGGCAGCTCATGAAGTACATCCAGGTAGGCGCGGCGCTGGGAGCTCCGCTCGGAACGGGGTTTGTTCGGCCTTGTTCTCAGCCGAGACACGAGTCGTAGCGGGATGCGCGCTGACTACGAGCGGGACGGAGAAACTAGTTGTATTCCCTCTCAACGCGTGACCTAGACTGCACCGCGCGCCAGCAGGTAGGGCTGGTGCAGCTGTTAGTTGTGCAGTTGGCCAAACTCGGGGTCAGTCGAGCAGGGAGAGCCTGGATAAGCTTGGTCTCGTGGACCAAGTGCGAGAAGTTGGTGAAGCCTCTGAAGTTAGTGTACAGGAAGGCTGCCCATTTACGAGCCTGGCTCCCGTGTAGGTGTGCAGTGAAAACGGCAGGTTGCTGTATGTTGGGAGTCCACTCCTTATCTGTTCTGTGGCAGAACCATGTTGTTTCTATGGTAGTTTATAGTGCTGTGGCACAGCTGACGGTGAAAAACTTCATAAAGAAAAATAATAGAGTTTCTTCCATGTTTCTTCTATTAAAAATTCTGAAGGATAGTAGACTGATCTAAAAAAAAAATCTGGTTTTAGTTTTTGCCAGAAACAACTCTTTCCTAGTTGTTTTTGTTGTTCCTGTTGGCCGTGATCCAGTTATTGTGCAAGTTCATCATGTACTCGGTAGTGAAGTAAAGACAAAAGAATTTTAAAAATACTGACAAAGTATGATGCAGATTCCAGTTCAAGCATATTGTCTTTGATTTTTAGACAGTATTCTTTTAGCTCCCTGCATCCATTTTAACAAATGGAAACATTTTGTCAGCCTGCTGAGACTGGCAGGAACTATGTGTAATATCTGTTTAGAAAAGTACTGGGTTTCTGTTAGGTAGAAAGATAACTTTTACATTAACATAGAATTGAATGCCATTCCTTACTCGTCAGTTTCTGATTTATCCAATAATAAATAGGTTTTTGGGTGGTATCTGCACATTCCCCTCAGCCCTCAATTTGTAGCAGTTAGAGCTGCTTTGAAACTCAGCACTTGGTTTCCTCTAAAGCTGGTAGAACTGGGACTCTAGGAATGGTCAGAAGAGAAAACATTTGGAATGAAAGTGAAGCTAAACTAAGTCTAGCCAAGAACTGATCGGTTAGGAATTTTACAAGCTCTGAAAACAAGTTCCGTGCGAACAAATCACTTTGTAAAGACGCTGGTTGTTGTTCTAGGTTGACTCCTATGGGAAATGCCTTCATAACCGTGAGCTTCCCAGTGAGCGACTGAGAGACACTTCTACAGCCACTACAGAAGATCCTGAATTTATGACTTTTATCGCCAGGTACAAGTTCCATCTGGCCCTGGAGAATGCCATATGTGACGACTACATGACAGAGAAGCTGTGGCGTCCGATGCACTTGGGTGCTGTCCCCGTGTACCGAGGCTCCCCGGCTGTGCGGGACTGGATGCCAAACAACCTCTCCATCATTCTTATAGATGACTTTGAGAGCCCCCAAGAGCTGGCAAAGTATCTTGATTTCCTGGACAAGAATGGAGAGGAATACTTGAAGTATCTGGAGTATAAAAACGTCGGTGGAATCAAAAACCAGTTCCTGCTAGATAGTTTGGAGAGGAGGGAATGGGGTGTGAATGACATGACTCTGCCCAATTACCTGAATGGCTTCGAGTGTTTCATCTGTGACAGGGAGAACATCCGGGTCAAAGAGGAGAAAGAACACAAAAAGTCTGGTGGGAAAATTCCAGCTCCCAGACCTCGCATAGCTCAGTTCAAGCACATGGGATGTCCTATGCCAACCCCTGGGTTTGGAAGTGTTGAAGACCTCCCTGAAGGAGACAGGTAATGTACCAATATGATAGTTTTTGAAGGAAAAAAGCTTCAAATGAGCATAGCTGTAACTTTTAATAATGCTTTATACTTAAAGGAGCTCTTGATACGTTTCCAGTTACATTTTATACTATGTCATGTGGGTGGTGTGGTCGTTCTGCTAATACTGTGTAACCCCAAGGCTGGAGAAGAGGCTTGGAGGTGGAATTAGCAGTTGAAAGAGGAGCCTGAGGCACCCATAATATTCTGTTGAAATGCTCTGTGACCTCGGGCAATGTGGTTATCCTGTCTATCTTAGCTCTTTGTTTGGGATGTTTTTCAGTACAGTGATGGTAAAGCACTTGGGAGCCCTGGGGGGAAAGAAGCCCAATACCTCCCTACAAAGCACTTCCTTAACAATGGGCTTGCCACTGTTCAGTGCAGGCCTGGTTAACTCCTGTTGACTTCAGAGCAGAAGTTAGGCCCACCCAGAATACAAGACTGAATCTTGGTTTGTGTGACAAAACTCTGGCTAGTGCTGAAGGATGCCATCACATTTATTTAGGAGAGGGACTGCAGGACAGAGAATAGGCTGAGTAGCTTCTTGTCCCCGGGGGTTTGCACACAGGGATGGCTTAGTGCTGTTGCAATCTCCCAGGCCTGTAGCCCACTGTTAGCCAGCAGGGAACTAACCACGACAACCCTCAGGCAACCACTTCAGACAGGCAGAATAGAGTGTGGATTGCGTGATCTACTCAGTATTATACATGAATTGGTACAAAACAAGTTAGTGCTTGGGTGTTACCAAAGTTATTCCACTGACAGTGTTTGAAGCTGCAGTTGATAGAAGGAAAGTTTCTTGCAGTTTGTATACTATGTGTGCACTTTGTGAGTTGTGTATTACTAGTGTAACATGTTTGGATTCCCCAGGTTTCTCACTCTTCTTTGCATTACCAGCACCGATTTCTGTCTTTTTAGGCAATTACTCAATTGCATGCAATTCTCTTTCTCTAAGGCAGCAGACAGGCATCATAAAGATAAACCCTCAGCCATAGCAGATCTTGTCTAGGTTCATAGCTGTCACCAAGGATTTCAGTGTTCTGGTGTCAGTCTCAATGTAATATTCAGTTCATGACTTTTTGAAAATATTGGGAAAATTTCATGCATTTCCAGAAGGAAGTTGTCCATATCTTTTATCCCAGTTTATATCACTTTACAGCATTGTTAACAATTTCCTACACTAAGGGATGGAATGCTCAGGCATGTTAAAATGTTAGAAGAAACAGTGTGTTGAAAATGTGGAATCCATCGTTTCAAGTATGCTAAGTTCTGTGTGGATATGGATCTCTAAAAATGTTTTGATTATGTTACCCATTCACAAAAAAAGAGTGTGAGGAATTTTCTGAGTGTAGAGAACTACTTCATCCTATGTTTGGATGCTTTCAAAAATGGCCAACTGAAATTAGAAAAGGAAAATAACCTTGAGTTTACTTAAGTTTTTTTAGGAAATGTCTATTTCACAAACCCTGTGCTGTTTGTCATTATAAAGCATTTTTCACAGTACAATTGCTTTTCACATTGTCTAATTGAAAAGTTATGCTTTTTCCTCCTTCAGGTGAAAGAGGTTCTGAATCCTTGGTTTTCTCTTGGTTGACTAATTTATTGGAGCTTTTTTATAGTAATGCCTTTTCCTGATCCCAGTAGCAAAATGTTTTTTCCCTTGTAGCATGCAATGCCTCATCCTACTGTTGTAGAAGCATTCCCTGCTCTTCCATAGGTTTTCTCTCGCTTGAGCATCAGGTGGCAGCAGAGCAGTACCTGTGAAGGCACACGCAGCTTGGCTGCCGATGCCACTGCAGGCTCAGGTGCTTCCCTTGTTCTGCACAGGGATCATCAGCAAGGAGTTTTGAACAGCTGGTCCATAATCAGTTGCATCCCACGGATTTTCTATGTCTCTTTGAACCACAGTATGTTTTCTCCCCTTGTTTGTAGGTGAGATGTGTCTGGAAAAATTGTGAGTAGGAAGCTTTTACATTGATTGTTACCTACTTTAGAAAGATACGTATCCACACCTTTTGAGGCATAATCAAGGGCATCTCCAGTGAAATAACGGTGGTTTCTGTCTGATAAACATTGAGCTTTCACTGCTTTTATCTGCAGAATAGAACATGATTACTTAGAACTGTAAGTGGTGTGACGGTAACATAAAATTGCTACCAAAGCATTAGCTAAACACGCCCAGATTTTGTCAGAGTTTGACAGTAATATTATTCAACAGTGTGATCAATTTAGCCATTTGCCTGCTGAGCCAGTCAGTGGAGTGCTTTGTCACTTTAGGAAACATTATTGTGGAAAAATGACACAGGCCTAGTGGGGATACAAATGATAGACTACATGCAGTATGCAAGGTTGGACTATAAACACACATGGTGACTTGGAGTTCTGGAGGCTTCTGGAACTCAGAGAACAACAAAGGCTGTTGGAGTTTGTGTTAGAGCGAGTACCCAATTACGGTAAGGTTATGCTCTGTAAGCCTTATTCCCAGAGGTAATCAGTTTTTAGGGTTAACAAATGTGCTGAATTTACAGAACTGTTAGATCAGAATCTCTCTCTGTGTAGGTACATGTAGCTGGAGCTCACTTGCACCTTTAGCTGTAAGTCTGGAGATGTGGTTTCTAAATCCTTATCCTTGCAGCCTCAATTTTATTTGGACTCCTGAGCTTCACACCCAAGTGAGCTTTAGAAAAAAGGCTGTAGAATGACCATTTGTATGTGTTAGGTTATGGGTCAGTCACTCCAATCTATTGAGTTCTTAGCTGATTTGTACAGAAAATAGTGACTTAGAGTCCTACTGATGAGTAGAATATTTGTTTAATAGGAACTGGAATCTCCAGTTATTCTTGGACTCCACTTTTGTGAGAGAAATGTTTGGTTCATTCATTGTTAAGGATTCATCTTCTGAAGGTGGGATGTTTGAGAGGTGCCTATAAAAAGACTAAGTGACAATTCTACTTGCCTGAAGTTTTCATCTGTGGTTGAGCAGTCAGTGTGCCTTTGATAAAGGAATGTTGTGAAACCATCATGGCTTTGCTAGTGCCATTTTATGTCAATGTCACAATTTATTTATGATGAGAAAACCCAGCTTAACAGTGTGTCAGATTTGCCATGTGGACACTGTAAAATGTCCCTTGCAATAGAATCCAGTAATCATCCAGGATTAAAGATAGATCTGTATCTCACAGGTGTATGTAGTTGCTGGAGATTTGTGCAATCCTGTTCATCCTAGGGTTCCAATTTTTTTTCCAATTAGAATCAGAGTGAAATTATTTTCTTTAAAAAAAAAAGAACAATAATTTAAAAAGAAAATTACCAAAGTGTTCTTATTTAACAATTCTGACAAAAGTCTTCACTTGGATACTGGAATTCCTTTCAGTGCTGTTCCTGTAGAGTTCATCTTGGAAACATTTTGGGTTTTTTCAGTTACCTACTGCCACTTCGTCTTGGGTCTTAATGCAGGTAGACTCATTTTCCTAATGTGTGCCCTTACTCAGTGCTGTAAAAAACAAGTAACTCATGTTGGCAGTCCTTGAACAAAGGTTAATGAATTTAGCTGGTAAGCAGTGTGATCTCATAGTGATTCCAACTGCTGCATTTTACAAAGGAACCTTTGGCAGCTATTTATTTTTTAAAGCAGAAGTAAGCCTCTGTCTGTGATTCTTCACATTGGAATCTATGCTAAAAGCTTCATTTTGAGGTCTGTGTTGGTATACACTGTGGAAATGTGCCATCACAGATGATGCTGTTGACTCCAGAAGACTAATTCCCATGCTGTACAAGCTCAGAGAAAGCGACTGATGTGTGGTGTGTTTCAGTCCCCCTGGAGTGGTGGGTGAGATCTGCTCCTGGGCACTGCAGTCACACTTGATTTAATGTATGGTGCATAGAGTGAAGGCAGGAGGCACTGTGCTTATTTCTGTGATTTGGAGGGGAAAAAATCAAAAATCCCTGTATATAAGTTAACGAGTATTGGGCATATTACATAAGAGCATCATGCTGGTCCTTCTTTCCCAAATTTGTGATGGGCTTATCTGGCTGGTAGCAGAAATAATAGAGAAGAGATAAATAACTGCCATACCTTGATAAGACACAAGTGGGAGAAGTAGTCCACGTAATCATGAACGGGAAGGGATTTGTTGAAATTTGCAGTGATACAGTTTGTACTATGAAAAGTTTGAGACTGTATGCATGGAAAAAGAGAGTCTGGACTCGACCATTGAGTCTGGAGATAAAGAACAGATTCAGGGTTGAGGAATATAATGATTTCTGTCTCTGCCATGTATATTGTTTGCAATTGTTAAATGGTTTATGTGAAAAAATAATTGATTCTTAGGCTAACTATTATACACCTACCGGCCATGGAAGGCTACTCTCAAAATAATGTAAGGACTCTGTGATAGATTTTATTTTAATAGGAGTTTTTATTCTCTACAATTAATAATTTTGTCTCTTTGGTTAACACTATAGTCACATGCTGACATTTCTAGAATGTTGTAAAGCTAATAGTGAACTTATCTTTTCTGTAGAGAATTTTCATGGCAAGTTTCTTTAAATGACTTGAGCACAATGGCACAGTAACAACATACTTTATCTCTGAGCCTGTTTTCCTCTTAGATGAAAGAAAAAAAACTGTTTCGATGCTATTACAGCTGCAGACTCATTTGGGTTTTTTTAATGGTTTGTGGTGGTGTCTCTTTTTTGTTTCAGTTGGAAAGAAATGTGGCTGCAGGATTATTGGCAAAGCCTTGATCAGGGTGAGGCCCTCACTGCTATGATTCATCGCAATGAGTCTCATCAGGGAAGATTCTGGGACTATATGCATGAGATTTTTCTCAAGAGGACAAGGCAACACTGACCCATCTTTGTAAGAGATGTGATTTGAAAACTGCATTGAAGGTTGAGACTCTGAATTCTTACCTCACTTCAAATGTCTGCCTTGAAATAGGAAAAAAACCTCCCACAGAGACAATTTTTTCTGGTGCATGAAGTGAGTAAATTTCTGTTACGATTGGATTTCAGCAGTGGAGGTGTTAGCAACTGCTTTGATTTGAATTTCAGCTCTGTGGTGTGAAGCCACTCCTGACTTGCAGGTGCCAGCGTGGGGCAGAAGAGGAATTTACTCTCCCTTTGCATTTGGTATACTTACGTGTCTCCAGAGGAATACCTCTTCAGACTCTTGATCAAGTGCCCTAAGTTATATCAGGGATTTTTTAAATCTCAAAAGTACTGTTTTTATATTTCATCAGTCACATATTCTCTTCATTACAATGTACTTTTAGCTGCTATTAACAAATGGTTTTTCCAGTGAAGGAATTGCAAAAGACAAATCTATGGAGAGCAGTTGTGCCTTAGGAAATTGCAGCAATAAAGTCTCTTCTCCCCCAGTAAACATGCCTCAAATACTTCAGCTTTTCAAGGTAACTGTGGGAAGGTCACTTACTCTCTGCCTCATTTTCCTCTTTTGCTAACTCAGCAGATGATATGTAGAGTGGGATGAGAAACCAATTTATTTAACTCACAATGTTCAACAAAGTATTTCACACCAGAAAGTGTATTATTACCTGGTATTGTGTGGAACTGAGTAAAATTGGTATGCTTTGGTTCTTCTAAGTTTCCGTCAAATCTGAAATCTATGATCTTGACTTTTTGTTATCTCCTAAATACCAGCAGTTCATAGGCCTTGGATTTGTTCTTTTTGAGTATCTGCAGCTTTCTGCAAACACATATACATTCTAACACTGGTGCCTTTCCAGTGGTCTGTGCAGTCTGGATACAAGCCTTGCAGTCTTTCTGTGCTGAAATGGATGATCAGAACCAGGTGCACTGAGATGGTGTTGTATCTCTACCAAATCTTGACACTTTATGACCCTGGTCCGTGACTGGAGTTCCAAGTGATGACATGTGGACAGATCTTCCTTGCTGCATAGCCTGTATCGCTTACAGATATAAATAAACTGCACTGTTCCTTGCCATGTTGGGTATCTTTCTGAAATAATTTGATCTTGCAGTGGAGGGAAACTAATTGACTTAGTGTCATGGGTTTAAAAGCACAGGCAAATATGGCCATCACTGCAGTGATGTCTCTAATGGTACAATGCTATGTTCTTTCTCTATTTCTCCTCCCCCTTCAGAAGTTACCTACTGACTAAATAGCCAGAGTTTATCCATGCCTAAGACAGAATGTTGGTAATGAAAGTCTAGAGTCTGTGGGGTAATTTGATTTTGTAAGGCATGCATCGTTATGAGAAGTCTGATGCCTCGTAGTAAAAGTTAGGAACAGGAGTGAATCTACATTCTGTCCCTAATTAAGTCACTGTCTGTTGCTTAGTGCTGGATGGGTCACTTGATATCTTTTTTTTTTTTTGCCCCTCAAATTCCCCTTCATAATGTTATAGATATGGTATTGTAGGTATAATATCGGTTTAGGTAATGATGTCTCAATGTTCACCTCTCAGGTGACAAACAATATTGCCATGTTAAAATCAGGACACCTTGACAGCAAAGACTTCAGACCCATAACTGCCACTGGATTCTTGTACATGTAGAAAATGCATACACCATACATTGATCTCACCTGACTGCATTTGGGAGAGAACTATTTTTTTAATCTCTCTTCTCTAATAACACTAACAAATGGTTCTTCAGCTAAAATGCATTCATCAGTTTACATTCCTTTTTTTCAATTACTCAGGAGACATGAACACCTAAGTGAATATATCTGAGTGAATTGTTGAAGTGGATAACTCAGTCCAGAATAAAATTACAGATATGTGTATTTAGGATCGAAGTGGCCACAATGTGCTTGAGAAGTAAATAAAGAACATTACAACTTAAGGCTGCTTTAGTTCTGAATATTGACTTCTACTGAATAGTTTCATGATGTTCGAGTAAATTGTTTGAATTAAGGGCTTCAGTTACTTCTCTTTGTTTCATGTTTCTGTATAGAAAGTTATTCAGTCTTCTTTGTGTGGTTCTCTTAATTAACTGTATCTCAAAACACTTATGTGTTTGGTAGGATAGTCAGGAGGAAAAATTCTGATCTTGCTTTTTGTATTGAGCATAAAAAGTAGGAACCAGGTACTAGCAGAAGCTGCTTTTGCTATTTTATCCTGTAATTTGAGTAGATTTGCTTTTATAATAATTGACATGTATTTACTATCATTTATCTGCTGTTGCCAAAATTAGCCATGCTACATTGAATGTATTGTCTTTGCAGGAGTAACAGGAGGAAGCACCAATATAAACATCACAGCACCTGCTTAGTCCTTGATTAGTGATGTCCTAACACCTCACTCTGCCTTTCCCTTCAGCATGTTTCTCAGCTAACAGTAGCACTGGAGATACGGTGGTACAAGCCAAAGAGTAGTTAGCAAACTAGATAAAAACTTCTCCCCTGGGGCCTCAATTCATTCATTTGCTAATTCACAGCCAAGTATTCCTTCACCACTACTTATTTTCTGTACTCAGTATAATACAATCACCAGTCAATAAGGTTTTTCCTGTTAGTCCTACAGGGTTTGTTTGGTTGTTGTTTTGCTCCATATCTGTACTACACAAGGCTGTTGCTTCGAGCGTCATGACTGTTGCCAGGCATGACTACTTCTGATTGCCATCTATCTTCTTAACATGGGTATGAAAGTAGTACAGATCTATAAGTAACTTTATCACAGATAGTTTTCATCTTTGTTTTTCAAATTACAACTTCCAGTTTGTAGTTAAGAGTCACAAGTCAGTTTCAGTAGCTTTCTCTTCTGAATTCTCAGTGTCTTCCTAGGTTTAACTACTTTACAGTCTTATAGGTGGTGAATTTCTCAAAAGGTAATGAGTATCAGCTACCACTCTTAGCAGCTGTGATGCTCACCCAAGCCTTGTGTTCCTTTTGTATCTGCAGTGTGTTTTTCTGTAGTAATAGCTCATACTAGCTTTATTATCTCCTGAATGGCACAATACATCTATGATTTATAAACAGTGTGTCTGTTGCCTCTATTAATATACTAAAGATATTTCACTTTCTGTACATGGTGTGCAAGAACTAAGGCTGAAATATTTATTCCAGTGCATAGTATGAATAACTTGTGTAGCTGCCACGCAAACTCCACAGGGGCAGGAGGGGTGGGAACCCTCCCCAGCTGGCTGAAGAGTTGTGGTTGCAGTTTTGTTCGAGGCTGCTGACCGACCTTCACAAAATCTACTTCTCTGCACAGCAAGGACTGCAAAATGCTAAACAAAGGCAGTTCTACTGCCGTGGCTTTGCTTTCATCTCTGTCCTGTTACTTGGAGGAGGCAGGAGGAGAAGCTGGGTCTCATACCCTTGAAGAGTTTGCAATTTACTTAATACTGCATTTGAAAGGATTGCTATGTAATGCCAACGAGTACTGCCAGTCTTAGCCAAAGTGAATTCAATTTACAATCCTAGTTGTCTACTGCAAGTATGTGAGTGCAGACAAGGAGGAAGGTCACTGCAGCAATTATTAATATTTTGGACAAGGTTCCTGATTTCTGTTCTTGACTGCTAACTGGATCTCTCACTTCACTGCTTTAAATCCAGAGCAGCTAGCTGGTGGCTGAATGTCATCACTCATGTCGTGAGTACTGGAAGGCTACGTGATACTGGGACTGAACATGATAGATGTAGCCAACATCTGTCTTACTCAGGTTCTTACAGTGCAGGTACCCAAGTCATAGACTGAACATGATAGATGTAGTCAACATCTGTCTTACTCAAGTTCTTACAGTGCAGGTACCCAAGTCATAAAAACACACAACAGAGGCTAATCAGGAATTTGAGCAAAGATACCAAATATTGAGGATAATAAAGAGGTTACCTCTGTGAACCCTTTGGTAGGCTTCTGCAGGCTAGGGTGAGTGGCTTCACTGCTTGTCATGCATTTTGCCTGTTTACTGGGTGACTAGAGGGAGGCTTTCAAGGCTTTATTCACTAGCATTAATGTTCTAAAAATAGGTATCTCCTCATTACTGCTCACGTGAAACACTATTCTATTGATGCTGTGTCTCAGAATTGACTTGACAAGCTAGGGTAAGTTTGTGCCCTCTGAGAGGTGAGAGAGGAGAAACAAATAACTGAGAAAGGTTAAAAACCTGGCAGGGCAGTGCATTGCATTGGACAAGCTAAAGTACTCTCATTCTCCTACCAAAACTGTGATACCAGGTGCTGCCTGTTTTTCTAGTAAGAAGCTGAACTACCAGTCTGGTATTTCTGTCCTGTAGCAAGGACTGCAATTTGTAGGAAGCATATAACATCATGAGAACCAAGCAGCAGTGGATGTATGTGTTTAGAGGGAAAGGAGAATGACCTGCTCTCTCTGGAAATGGTCTGCAACATGCAGCATCTGGAGAATCACAGCAGAAATGCCCCTCTTGCAGTTTGGCAGTGTAGTTTTCACTGGTGTGGAAGAACAAGTAACTCCTAAAGGACAGGGAACAGGATAAATTGAATTGAAACTCGGCCATCAGGGACATCACTGTTTAAACAGGCTTTGCAGTGGTAGACAAGCAGCCATCTGCCTCTCTTAGTGTCCTGCCATACACACTCTTCAGCCACTGTCCCAAGAGAGCCACTCCCTTAATCGTTCCTTGTCATCCATTTGGTTGTATTTGATTAAGATTATTGATGGATCTCCAGGCACCTTCTGAGAAGTTGTATTAATCAGAAATATACAGGGTGGCAGGTTCCTTCATTCTGCCCGGAGACTTCTACTGACAGGTTGAAATTAATCAGAGACAAAATCCTTTTAGTGATATGACCAACTGAGCCAAACCCTGTGTCAGGCTCTAACAAACTGTACTTCTCTCTATGATTCATTATCTTGGAGCTGGCAGTGAGAGATATATGGCCCTGCAGAGGGATTAGGAAGGGTGGAGAAGAATGGAGCTGCAGGATCTGTTCCAGAGCTCTGACACCACTGGCATCTTAATTTGTACGCTGTTACAGACATTCTTTCC